AGGAGCCAAGAGCTTCCTGGATATACATGCACTCGAAAAGAGTACTAACGTTGCCTCGTTAAGTGAAACACAAATCTGTTTAAAAAATCGGTTTTTCTGTTATTCAGCTGTTGCAGAATCACGGTTGCAGAATCAACCCAGCTTCAACCAGATAAATTCTCTCGAGAAAAATATCTGGTCGAGGCAGAAGTCGAACCCACGGTTTTCCAATCGTGAGTCGGGCGCACTACCATCGCGGCCATGGTATTCAAAGAAAATGAAAACTACGGCCATCACCGATAGTACCATCCAGTGGATGATAGTAACGAAAACTGCAGGTATTTTTACATTAGAGGAATCAAATTTCAAATCCTAAATCATGAACAACTTAGTGAATATATTTCAGAAACTGATACGAAATGTAACATTGATTTTGTACAGACTTTTCTCTGATGCATGAATTAAGAAAATTAGGTCAGTCGACCTCTAATGCCTTTCAAAATTCAAAGGGATTGCACATCGTTGAGAAGGTGAAAGTGAAAAATTCAGAAATGTACTAAAGTTATTTCCTCCCCAAAATCACAATTACAAAATAAGCAAGCTCGAACCATTTTTTTCATAAATTGTCCTCGTTTCGTTTTCAATAACTCACCCTGTAAATAATTAAGTCAAATAGCGTATAAAATTTCAAACTAATAAGTACGCTTAACGATGTAAGTTAATTCAGAATTAAAAATGAACTGTGAAAGATAAATACAAGATAAGCAGTGGTTAGTAAATGTATTTCCTCAGTTTCTCCTTGGAAATGCAACTTGGGTGCTCGAACACAACACAACTAATAGATATCAGAAAGGATAACTGTTTCAATGGAAAAATGCTACCCCTACCTTCAACCCCTGTCGAATGACAGGAACAATTCCAAATTTTTTGAATGGGAAGTATAGGCTTGTGACATATTGTTTGAAAGGCCTCTTTATCCCCTATTCAAAAATGTTATAGCTTTCAAGTTTATTACAGCAATCAAGATAAAATAAATTGAAACCTATAACAATACACCCAAAACTCACAAGAAAGTGAGCAAAAACCATGTCGATGGTCTTTTCAGGTGATATTCTTTGAAAAACTGTAAATAATTCCCGTGGCATCGTAAGTTTGAAACGCCTTGTCAACTTATTTGTATTCAACGACATTAGTTATCAGTATCTTAATTTAAGTTCAAAGTGCGTTAACTTCAAGTCTGAAAAATGGTTAGAATAATGAAAATGCATGAAATAACAGTTTTACAAATGACTGGCTACGGTATTCAGGAAGTAGTTTGCCTATTCAATTACAAATTTCCTAATTTACCTCCCATATCTCAAGAAACAATAAGTAGAATAGAGAAGCAGTTTGGCGAGCTTGGTCATGTAGGGCAGATAAGAAAAGCAGCGGCCAATGCAATGAGTCATGAACTCAAATCAGATGTGATGCTTGAGTTTGAGGAAAACCCACATACATCGTGTAGTCAGGAATCAACTACATTCAATGTTACCCATACATCGATAGTATACATATCAAAAGAAAATAAAATGCGTCCCCCGATTTTGTTGTTTGAAGTTGAAGATGATGTTCGGGCAAGGATTTTAGAAAACCATACCATTGGTCCATTTTTAATCGAGGGCAACTTGAGTGACGATGATTATTTGGCATCACTCAAAATGATGTCATTCCAAGTTCAGCAAATTTATATCCTGATCCAGTGAACCCTCAAGTTCCAGTGAATACGATATGGTTTCAGCAGGATGGAGCACCTGATAATGTCCGGCAAAACCTTGATACAACATTTCCCAATCGGTGGATAGGGAGGCGAGGATTAATTGAATAACCAGCGCGATCACCTGATTTTTCATAATTAGATTTCTTTTTATGGGGATATGTAAAGAGCATCTTATTTTGGACATCTAATTCGTTAACATCCATATTTTTTCTTCGTATTCTGCATTCATTAAGTTTTTGCATTTTAGTTTTTAAGTGTATTTTATCGAATATCAGGTAACCACATGATTTCAATTTATTTTATCTTGATTGTTGCAATAAATTTGAAAGCGAGAACATTTTTGAATAGAGAATGAAGAGAACTTTCAAACGATTCATCACAAACCTATACATCTCATAAAACAATTTAGGATATTACCCGTCATTCGAAGGGGGTTGAAGGTAGAGATTGCATTTTCATGTTGAAGAATGTCAAATCATAATTTACATTTGCCGAGTTTCGGGTTTTTTTTTCAAATTTGCACAGTAACCGAAATGATGAATTTATTCCATTTGGCTTTTACACACTGTATGTATATAATATAGTTAAAATTCAGCCTTCACATTTCCACACACTCTCGAAACCATTCATAAAAAAGTATTTGTTCACTCACCACTTTGTTATCTGCAGCAAAATCGTACCAACATTTTGGATTGCTTTTCATAGTGAAGTAATCCCTCCAAGTCGGACAGACATTGTTTGGATTTTGTCCTACAGAGTTGTCTGGAACCGCCAAAACCATCAACATCATCATATAAAAATACATTGTTCATATGGCACAGAATGATCTCACACCGCTCTTGCGAAATTGGACGACTGCTAAGACATGTATATTGTATATTACAAGAGGTGGAACACTTTCCTTTACTCCATCACCAGAAAACGTAAATTGTTTTATTTTCAGCGGTTCACCGACCTCACAATCACACGGATATTGAATGCAGTTTTTAACTAATCGATTTTTCTTGTCTGTTTTGTATCAGGTTGCCGGCTAGTTAGTTGACTTGCACTCGATGTTCACATCACTTTTCAGTATAAGTATTATAAATGTACATCCAACTGGTATGTCCTGAGCTTGTGAAAAAATTATCATTTTCATTACAAATGAAAACTGAATATTTGTACGAGTACTTTTCATGCAATTGGTGAAAAAACTCAGAAACAGATATCTTATTTTCTATATTCACTGACATGCATATTTAAGATGAGGTGAATCAACATGAGAGAATCAGAGTATGTGAAAGATATAGAATAAAGTTGTCCATCATAGAATTAATTCAAATGACGTTTTAACATTCGAGATATTCCAATCATTTCCGGAAATATTCATTTCTAACGTTATTGAAGAATAAATTGAGAAATTGAACCATCTTTTTCATTGCCCCCTACTGAGCTGTGCAAGATATATTTTATAAATGTTTAGTCACGTCTACGGAAAACCATCACCAATTTTTTTCATGAAAATCTCAAAGAACAAGTTAGCTTTCTTATCGATAACTTCAATGATGTATCGTCATAATCGTTCAGTTAGTGAATTTTAAAACGTCATTGGAATACATTCCAAAATTGGTCAAATTTTTCACGATTGTTTCTTCACCTTTTTCGATTTTTCCATGGTGGTCCACCTTATCATGGACATAGTGCCATGAGGCTATAGAATAATCAATTTTTTTATACACTCAGGCTTTTAAAGTTGGCTATTCATATTTAAATGTGCTTTGGAGTAGTTGAAAAATTCCCTTTGAGCTTTGGTTTTCCGTATAACTTAATCCTCTGCTGAAATTTCAGGGCACTGTGGTTGTTGCAAGAGAAAATGCTCAGTAAATTCGTGGAAATTTTATATTCAAATGGAAGTATGGACGAAATTTCGATTAAAGATGACACTAGCTGAATGGAATTCGCGCTGAAATGACTTTTTTGGAGTATCAAAAATGTGTTTTCCAACATATTCCAACATTTCTATTTTGTCTGATTCGCTATAGGTCGATGAATTTATCAAGTTGAATTGGATTTATCTTGATTGCCTCGTTATCACAAGCTGTAAGATCAAGAGTATCTTCAATTCTTACTGTTGAGAAAGTTTTCATAGTTATTCCTAGAGAAGTATGACTTTGCATCTGCCTAGTTTGACAGGCGAGCACACCAAAGCTGTCCAAACCAAATGTTATTGTGGAATTACCTAACATTCCATAAAAATTGGATCAGGATGGGTTCCAGCCCCTGTATCTTCCGTTAGGTTCTTGGAAGAGTTCGTAGTCCCTCTTGGTGCTCTTTGTACTACTATGAGAGATTTGAAAGAGTTAACATTGAGCTATTCTTCCTTCATTCATATTGCTGGTGGTCATCAATTTTTATGTCCTGCTGCATGCATTTCTTCACTATATTATTAATACCGCCGTGGTATAGAATGGAGGAAATAACATACCCCCTGATGACCACATCTTTCTTTGACCTCTGAGGTAATAATTGGGAGAAATATCAGTTATTCTATATTGTTATTCGGAAGTGTTAGTGTATAACCTCAAATACATGATTTTTGTAATGGAAAAATCTTTAAAATACTCATCCGAACCCTTAGGTTGCCCTAAGGGTCTGCGTATTTCCGTGATTTTTGACGTCCCCTCACCACTATAGAAAATGATATAAAAGTTTGAATATTAGCAAATTTGCTTCGGCAACATATTCGTCTACTTTGCTGATAGAAATTACCAATATATATAACACCACATCACACTAACACCACATCACACTACCAATATAAATATCACATCACATCACATCACTACACTTCAAACTATGCGACGAGTGGTAAACTCAACCAAAGCATCAACTACTCTGCCAAAAATCAATTATATAATACAACAACGTCGTATAATCATTACATAAATTTGTAGTTGATCTTGACTCACTTCTCTGTAACAGAAACTCGATCACCTTTTCTTCGTATCAGGTATGTAGTCAAGCAATTTTGGCAAAAGTTCACCCCCGGAATATGTGGTAATTTTGATGTCTCTTTTTTCAAGTGTTTTACGTCGTCCCTTCTTCACTGATGAAAGAAAATTTTCATATGCCACATCATTGAAACTTGTTTGTTATTCTAGTTGTAAGCCATACCCAGAAGTTTTGTTAATAGACAAAATCATAAATTCAAGTGAGTTTTGAAACTCGCTACTGATCAAAATATGTGTGACAGCTCATTGGATCAATAAAAATATTATCAAAGTATCGAAACAGATTATATACAATTGAAAAAGTGAACATAACAAATTCTAGTTTCTTGGGACATATTGTACGGACTAATATATCTACTAACTATCGTCGGTAGGGACATTAGAGAGATATTGATAACGATTATGGAAGTGACAAAAATGAATTTTATCGGTTCGTACTTACATTGTCTGATAATATATGAAATGATTTTAAATTCCTGACAGAATCAATAAAATTGAAATGAATAGCTGAAAATAACAATCATATTGAGCAAGAAAAACTCTGAGATGACATTACAATAAAATAATATACCAGCAACAATTGAAAATTGCAAAATTGGAAAGAAATAAAAATTTAAATATTTCAGTTCCTTCACGACGTTCCGATTCGGGTCATCACCCGAAGACGATTGAGGATACTAACAAACGAAACATCATGAAGTAACTTGACTTGAAATCTTTAAATGTTCATTTCTTTTCAATTGTTCAATTTTCATTGTTGCTTCTCTTTTATTTCATAGAAATTTCATTTGAGAGTTTGTTTTGCTTAATATAATTGTAAGTGTCATCTATTCATTTTAATTTTATTAATTCTATCAGGGATTTCAAATAATGTATTATTAGACAATGATTGAATGTCCCATATAATGAAATTTACCATGAAACATTGTCAACAACCTTCAAACAAAGAGGTTAGATTGGGTTAAGTTAGGTCAAAATTGAGTTTATCTATTCGATTCTCGTCCGCAACCTACAAGGGTTTATTGTGGCTCACACCTATTCACATTCGATCAATTAAACCCAGGTTCTTAGCGAACCCGATTAGTTTGTAAGGTGAGTGGTCTTTCAGGTCAGATGTCAAGAGTACGGCTCTGCCGAACTCTAAAAACCTGATTTGGTCCCCAGCGAGGCACGCACAAAGTATGTGCTCAGCAGTTTCATCATTTTCCAAACAAAGGCGGCACACACTGCCTTTCCACAGTCCGAGTCTCTGCATATGATGATTCAAATGACAGTGACCTGTTAGACATCGTAGATCATCCCTACTCTAGCCCAATAACTATATGGTTCGAAAGGTTAATAAACGCCTTGGAGTGAGCCAATCCTGGAAAATTCTGCCAGAAGTCCATGAATCTTCTTGCCATCCAGGTGTTTAATATTTGTTTGTAAAGCGATGCCAATGACAGGTTCTGGTCCAATGAAGCTGCTTGCTGCACATTTATTCGCAAGTATGTCAGCAGCCTCATTGCCTTCCAGGCCAGTATGGCCAGGAATCTAGACCAGAGATAATCTGTTAAGTCGTCCTATCGAAGAGAATCGTTTTTGGCAATTAGCTCCCAATTTAGACGTTGCTCAGCAGGAGCCAAGAGCTTCCAACGCCGCTTGACTGTTTATATCTCTGCCCTGGGTCTGCGACTGAAAACACCTGCACGAGAACCAGAAACTGTTTTTGATCCATCTATGAACCAAAAACCATCTGCTCTCAATATTTCCTTCTCTCAGATGATCCAGTCCTCTCTAGTTGGTAACAAAACTTCATAAGGGAGTTCGTAGTTGAGAGTTGGGGTCAGGGAGTTAGGGGTCATTTCCAGAATGCTGTGACTTTCAGTGTCAACCAATGGTCTGTTGCACTCTGCATTAAATTGATTTGTGCAATTGGCAATGTGCACAATTCTATTTGCAGTCCATCTAGCCTCCCTTTCCAAAAAATGTGGAGAGGAGGTAGATCTAGAAGGATCTCCATGGCCGCTGACGGTGTGGTACTGATGGCACCACTGATGGCCAGACAAACCTGTCTCGATAAGCCAAAGAGATTCGCCTGGGCCGTTTTCTGTATATTTAGTTCTGTTATCCGTAACCAGGCAATTGCATCATAAGTGATAATTGGTCTGACAATCATCACATAAATCCGATGGAATGGTTTGGGACCTAAACCCTCATTATTACACAAATCCTTCGACATATCCATAAAGACAGTCTGTCTTTGTGTAAAACTTTTTACAAGTGAGCGTTCCAAGTAAGAAAAATCCCAAGATATTTCACCTCCGTTCCAAATGGAGTAACCTCACCTTTGGGGAAAACTGGCGTTAGATCGTCCAAGTTCCTCCTCCTGGTGAAGGAGATTTCAGCACAGTTTTACTGGGGAAAAACAGACTCCAGGCAGCAACAGTTAACAACGTCCATCGTGCTTTGGAGGATATTACAAGCTACCCCTCCCGACGTGGACCTTGCCAAGATGACAAGGTCATCTGCATAAGTTTGCAGATCTACTTCTCTTCTGTCGAGGAGCATCAAGCAGACTATCCATCAGAAGCGACCACGGTAGGGGAGATAGTATCCCACTTTGAGGGCAGCTTCTGGTAACCCTGAACCTAATGGCCTCGTCTTGAAGAGTCGTAGTTTCAGTTCTGTTCACTAGCATGGTATAGATCCAGCCAGTTATGGTCGATTCTATACTTTTCCAGACATAATCCTATAGATTTAGGTAGTGCATTGTCAAACGCTCCTTCAATATCGAGAAATACAGCAACCGCGATCTCCTTGTTGTCAAGGGATTGAAAGATTTTCTCTACAAGGTTGTTTAATGCTAAATATGTCGATTTGCCGGTTTGATAAGCATACTGGTGGTTATTCAGAGGGGATGCAGAATTCCGCTCTCCAGAGAGAATCTTGTTAATTCTAGTTTCCTTGTTGTTTGTCGTTAGAGTAGTTTTATGAAGCTCCCAGTTACCTGACTCTTCAGCTCGATTGAATGATTGTCGAACTTCTTCATTCATTTTTCGAGGCTTTTGTTCCACCAATAAGAGTTATGGTTATCTCTTTCAAACTTCAGTGGACAGTTCTCATGATAGGATGAAATCATTGCTTCTCGAAATCGATCCGCTACTGTATCCTGTGAATAATAATGAATCCGTCCTCAAAGTACAAGTGGAGGGAGTTTTTTCACTCACTCCAATTAGTAGATTTTGAGTTACGATATTCCACTACTGGATTGAAAGGAAAGAGTTTTGACAAAATGTGGATGGAAATTACAAAAAAAAATCGCTTCAAATAACTCATCATGAAAATTTGTGAATCTTGATCAAAAGTTTCTTTCAGATACAAACTGGAGGTGGAAGCCAATTCTAATTCCGAACAGAAAAATATTGAATGACATCATAACATCAATTGAAAACTCATTATTTGGGTTTGTGAGCTATGATAAACGTTCTGGCATATTTTGAATGGATTTCGAGGTACTAACCTCTTCATTTCTGGAATAAACGACACTATGTTGAATTTTTGTCAGATCCTATTCATTCCATGGATGAAATGTTCGATAGTATAACTAGCTATCCCAGAAACATTTCAACAAAACACGGGAATTTTTCCTACTATTAACTCAGTTAATATATTTGATACATCCTTTATATATTTGTATGATGGGTTGCTTGCCACAACGATCCTCGGTATGTCTCAAAACCTCGCACCTATCGAATGTACAGAAAAACTTACCGTTTTTGTATCGGAAACTATTTCATAGAATTGCTTTGGAAGAGAGAGATTTGTTGAAACAAAGTAAAAGTCCGTGGTTTCATTGTGACCCAGGCGTTATTCAAATTTGCGGGAGACCTGAAAGGTTAAGTAATACGTGTATTGTGGCGACCCGTGCCTGCCTATTATTTTAGGTAGGTAGTGGTTAGGCCAGTAGTGTTCTATTGTGAGAATTAATTACATCTTATTTCAGTAGTATATTTGTGAGTGACCATCCATTATTGTGCCCTGTATTGTCGATTCATTCCCCTCGGAATCGGTGAAAGTTCCATATTATAAGAGCAGCAGTCTTATTTTCGCTGACTACCCACGAATAATCCTGTGAGAAAAACCCGTTTCTTCACAATGTAAAATGAATTAGTAAGGAGAATTGATACTACGACAGAATGGATGATGGAAATTTTGCACTTTTATTGGTATAAACTGAAGAGAGTTTTGAATAGTTTTGGTATTATGATATTCATCTTGAGTTCATATTCTGAATAGTATATAAGTGAATATAATNTAACTTCTGCTTGTTATATTGCAGCAAAAAATTGTAATACAATGAACAACAATACTCGATATGGGGGTAAATAAGAGTTTTAACTAACCTGAGTTTCATTTCTTCTGATGACTGATTTCCAGAAAAAAAGTTGGATAGAGAATTCAAAGTACTATCTAACGGAATATTGAAAACAAACATATTAAAAATATATATTTATTCAAAATATAAGAGGAACTTTCAACGCACAATGGTCGTTCAATCACATCATGAATATTCAAATTTGTCTACAGCCTCCTGAAGTGTACCATAGAGTAAATCTCTCACATTTGTAGACTCGATGAAATCATTGTGAGCAAACTTCTCGTATTCTAGGATATGGATCCCACTTTTGCTTCTATCATTTAGTTGGGAGTAGATAAGCTTAGCATCCTGAAAAAAAATCAATTCAACTTTCAATTCATCAAAATTCTGTTTTCTACAATGATCAACTTTTGAGTATCCTCAACCTATATATTTTTTCGTGGCTGAGAGTTTGTTGAGATATTATCAGTGGAAGCTGATATCGTGTTTGTGTACACAACTAGCTTCTGTTGATGACTCCAAACATTCGTCTTGTTTCATGCAACCAATGGGTGGCATAATCTTGCGTACTGTCAAAGGCAAAGACATGTGTCTGCGGATTGCAGACACGTGGACCTAGAGGTCAAGCAGGTAGCTGAACCTACGTGGAGACTTCAATGATGAGTAGGTTCCAAATCTCTGTTCTCCCCTACAACTTGAACTGTAAAACATTTTCATAAATTCCATTTCATTTATGCTTCAAAATCTGTTGAACAACAGTGTGGCTGACTCGATTCAATATATCGATCATAGTTACCTAGGTCATGAAAAAATTGGGTAATTGGGTGGTTGAATTGAGAAACTAATTATTTTGAAATAGTACGAAAGTATTTCATTCGAAAGGACTTTTGTCTCTCTCGTAAATAAAGTTCAAAGAAAGTGGTTCTGAAACGGTTTTTTCCGGTGTTTATCTGAAATGAACTCCTGTGCATTATCTACTCACGTTTGTTATTGCAGTAACTTCCGTAATTATTTTCGATTCCCACGTTTTTGAAGTTTTTCACATTTGTCTAGTCCAAATACTTCAAAGTATCCCATTGAGGATGATAACGATTGAGATAGGTCAAACCTTGTACGAATGCTTATACGAAATATCACATTGTCTAGTGGTTCTATGGGAGATATTTATTTGGAGTACAATCTAATTGATTGAATTGAAAGGGGTATATTATTAGGAGAAATCAATTTTTGGAGGAGAAAGGTTTTGTTTTTTTTCTTTTTCAATTTTATGAATCTTGGCTTTCCAATAACTCACTTCGGCGCTCGCTATGTCATCTTTCTTTCCAGCGATTAGAAATACAGGAACAGGAATTCGAGATAAATTGTAGTGGGGTGGAGTCTCCTGGCCATATCTCTCTAAGTTGGAAGTCACTCCGAAACTTTGTTCACGAAACTCTCCTGATTCTAGTATCTGGGCGTAATGAACCAAAACATCTACTCCAGTAGAATCTCCCAGAAGGAGGAGAATGAGTCGATAATACAACTGTAAATCAGTATAAAATAACATCAAAAAAAACAGTAATGGATGAGTCCATGAAAAACTATTTTCCAAATATCCATCAGGTGAAATACAGTACTTATTTTATCAGGGATTTTAAAAACGTTGTGGAAAATGGAGAGTGTCAATTTCACTGAAATTCTCAATTCTTGTACAAGTTCGATTAGAACAAAAATTTTCATGAAAATTTAATATTTTTCCTCTATGAATTAAAGCAAACAATTTTGCCCTGCACAAAAAGGTTTTGTACAGTTTCAAGCCAAGCATTCATAGATTAATTTTCAACAGTACCTCAAACTTTTAACAAGTACTCAAGTGAAAAAATAGTCAAGTGTTTTACCCGTCATTAAGAACCTCAACATGAAACGGTTAATCCTTAAGATGAAAACGGTATTAGGCCACAGAATAATTATTCAAGAAAATATTTCAATCATTTCAGATTGGTTGAATGAGAACAAATCTTTTATATTATTGAATTTTTCAGTATGGTTTATTCGCTTATTTTTCACCAATTATTATTGCAATCATGTACATGAAGGATGGTTAGGTTAACTACTGCAATCATATTGTTCATTATTGTTTTGTAGAAACATCTTAGATGAAACAATGGAAGGAAAATTTGTTGGGGAGTAGTAGATTACAGATTTTAATGCAATGTTTTTCGATTCTCAAGTTATAGTGGTCCAACAGTGAGGGTTCATTGTTTGTGGTTAGTTTCTTTTCACATATTGAAGTTGAATTCATACATCGTTCATATGCAGAGGAAACGTCTTGACTAATTTTGATTCAATGTTGTATGTTGTGGAAAAGTTCAATAATTAGTGTCATTAACATTTTGTGCTCTGGCACTTATGTCGCAGTTATGAAGTTCGTGTTCGATTGAAACTTCATTGAAAAATCTTTACGAGTTAAACTCCTTTCTGGGGGTGACAATATTCATAGAAAACATTTCCTTCTTAAAAATATGCTCTGTGTTCTTGTCACTGTCTTTGTTTATTCATATTGAGGATGACTATATCTACGAGTATGTTTTTAATACATTCGTGATAATCGATATATGTGTTAGTATAATTCGGCATCTGCTTTGTAATTTATTTTCAAATATCTTTCCTTCTTTTGTTTCTGAACTGGCGAGTTGATTCTAACTCATGGTTATAGTTTCTTGATATCATTGAGTTTAAAATAAGAATTCTGTTTTTCATATTCGTAACCCTAATCGGTGTGGAAAATACATATATCCCAGCTATGATTTCCACTTCCAATTCAGACGTCATTTTGGAATACCTCTTTCTATCAGAAGCAATCTTGCCTGTCAACGAGAGAAAATGGTGGAACCTCAAAACATGAATGTCATGGGGTTCAAAATAATATCACAGAGGGTCACCAAACTTATAAGCTGCGTTTATCAACCAACAAGCGATTCACAATATAGGGCTTTATTCTCTTCACATGCAAACACCATGGACTTTCTGCAAGTCAATCATCCCAGTTCCGAATTTTCCATATTCGGTGACTTCAATGTCCACAATATCTATGAGTCAAATTTTCAAAATATCAACGACGAACAAGGTCGCGAAGCCTAGGCTTTTGCAATGAGCTGCGGACTTACTCAGATTATAAATTAGGCAACAAGGATTCTTGACTGTGATGGAGAATATGCCAGTTTTCTGTATAGATATCTAACAACCAATCCAGAAATTTACAGTCACCGTAAGGTCTCCATTGGGATCTTCTAACCACGAACTCATTTCAGTGTTGAGTAAATCACCGATAAATGTTGACAAAAATCTAAGTCACGTAAAATTTGACATTACAGATCTGTTGAGTAGGTGCATATTGAAGACTATTTTCGAAATTTCTCGTGACGAGATATTTGTTTCAGCTTTGAAGATTCGAACTGGGTCTGCTGACGCTCACAACAGCTGCAATGACTGAAAACAAAGAACTTCACAGTCAGAGAATTTGGGATAAATTGTTCACCGATCCCAACGTGTCTAGATCCTTCTGGTCGGTAGCTCCTCAGTCGATTTTCTGGAAGAGGCATCACCCAATATTTCCACCCTAGAATCCACAATGCCGAAAATTATTTTTCGACAACGTCTAGTCAGGCGAATTTTGAAACAGCTCAATATCCACAAAGCGTCTGGTCCTGATGGAGTGCCCGTCATCGTAGTTAAGAAGTGCGCAAATGAACTCACACCAATATTTTGCAAACGTTTCAACCTGTCTTACTTATTCTTACTTCTTCTTATTGCTCGCGTTTAACCTATTCCCAAAAGGCAAGTAAATTCTTTCAAATAACTATAGACCTGGAGTAGTTTTGCTATCGGTGATATCAAAAACCATGGAGAAAGCCGTATACTACCATTTCCTCAAATATTCGGGAGGTTTTAACATCTTGAACGATCATCAATATGGCTTTTGGAAACAAAGATCAACAGGCGACCTGTAACACATATTTGGAATAACGCAATCGCAAGTGGCCGTCGCGTCGATGAATATCTCTCGAATAATTACATAACACCATCAACCCTGGTGTTCATCAGGAATCTACATTGTCTACAATCCTATTTTTAATATATATCAACGACTTATTGAAAAAACCCAAGAATGCAGTATATTGCTTTGCTGACGACAAAACACTTGTCTCGTCATTTCATTTGGATTCCAGTACATCGGCTGCGGATGCAAATCTTCACTGGTAACAGGAGGTTGCAAATCTTGATGACGAAGTAATTTCGAAATGGGGTGAAAGTATTCAGGTTCAATTCAATGCCACAAAAATCAAGGCATGGGTTTTCTCTAGAAAGATAATAACGTCAGTTCAGACAATTCCACCGCTCTTAGAGCTCCTTAATAATTTTTCTGTATTGCTTGTATTTTGCCCCCAAAAAAAATAAGTTGGCGTTGAATGAATGTTGAAATTATTACTGTTTCCATACTGATGTAGCTCGACATTTCCATTATCATTATTGAAATATTATTATGAATTATGCATTTGTTTCAGATTTGTTCAGTCTATTATATTGTTAATTATTATTGATATAAGTATTCAAAATATATTCAGTTCCAATATCAATTATTGTTATTGTGGTTGGATTTTGATATTATTGAAACTTCTGATAATGAAAATCAAGAAAACTGAGAAGAGATGTATTATTTCATCAATATAGTAGCACTTTTTTGGCTTCCTAGAATGTGGAAGAGTCGAATGTCGATTTACAGGAGCTGATTTTACCAACTTTACAGGCCAGTGATGGAAAAAATTCGTCTAGTGTCATTATATTGTGTTTGATTGATAGAAAGGTTTCACTGTATATTTTGAAAACTTTAGAGAACACCGACTTTGTTTCCAATTCGTTGATTTCAACATATCATAGTATCCTGAGAATGATAAAACTTTCGAAATTAGCTCATCCTAGCTGAAGTAGTTTTACAATTTGCTTTATTTTGTCCCTGAAAAGTAGGTTATCAACTTCTAATACACTATCCAGAAATCTCAATCATTTCAACATTTCTTGAGCGTTACCTTAGGATGCATCTCACTCATTTATATTTCGAATGCTTCAGGTAAGATTGATTCAGATGAAATGTAGTGCAATATTGTTTCGGCCAACTGTTGTGATATAATTTGCTTCCATAGATTCATTAACCATTACAATGAACTTGTGATGCATTGTTTGGAATCTTTGGTGTAGTAACGAATATTACTTGAGTTTTATCCCAACATCAAACGGTCAGTTTTTTACATTTCAACACGTATTTCGATCACCAAATAATCATCTTTAAGAGGAAGATTAATTTTAACCAAGATGATCATCTTAACCGAATCATCATCTTCAAAAGGAAGATTAATCTTCCTTTCAAAGATGATCACTTGGTGATGGAGGTGAACAATCGATCACACCAGTCTTCCCTTATTCCACAGTGGGTTTATGGAGTGTGATATTCTGAAAGGATTTTTGATTACAGGAAATCATCGACTTCGTGTTAATGTAGGACATTACTTTGCAGGACAGATAGCCCGAAACCAGTCTACAAGTGTGCCCGTTCCGATAATTGAGAACTGATCCTGGCAGTTGTGTCGCCAAAAGCGTATGCATATTACTTCTGCGAAGAATTCTGCGCTGACACTTGTCGGATATAATCTGACGCCCTTCCCGGTATTAGCCAGGGCAGTAATTGTTTTCTGATAGGTGTAAAAAATAATTTTTTACACATTTCACCAGTTTGGTTAATAGAGAAATTCCATACCAATCGAAAGCATGGAGCCTATATAATACGCAAACGTAAGGTTGCACTGGTTGGTTATTAAATTGAACCATAAAGACCATTTCATTACAAACATGATGGTATAGGGTTGTATACAAAAAAATCAGTCCTGGATGGCGGTTGTCAGTTTTAAAAAGTGAATTACTGCTGCGAGTGAATACGTGCCACAGAAAGGTCCCAGCAAACTATCCAATGCGATAGAAGAGGACACAGCATTGCAGCTGGGTGTAGTTCGTCCACTGAATGGAAGAAAGTGCCTATGATATTTGTCCGTGAAAATGAAAAGAATAGCGACAGACTTGTAAATGCTTCTCATCATTTTGATGTAACTTGGTATCAAAATAGAAAACATATTATTGAAAAAGAAGAATGCGTTTTGAACATTTCTTTGTAATAAATCAATTATATATTTGTGAATATATTTTATGTGACATTTGAGTATATAAATCTTCAGTTAATAAAAAAATACTACTAGATATATTGGTTGGAACCGAGATAAACAGATTTATTAATGATGAGCTTGAATTAATTTTCAATAAAATACAACCTGCTGACATACAGGGTCATAAAAGGCAAATTGTAGCAGCATGCTGATCTATTTCCAGCAAAGTTACAGGAATATTGAAAATAAATTCTATGACATATTTTCATCATTGAGGCTACAGTGAAAAATTTTTTGAATGAGTAGATACATTGTATTTCAATTTTGAGAT